GCTGAATGGCCACATTACTCAGCAATAAAGGCTGGGGATGGAGAAGGGAGACATTCAGTCATAGCTTTTGCCTTCTCAAGTCACCCTTATGTGTAGTGGAGCTCTGTGTTCCTGGGGATGGCTGAACACCTGCCTAGTGATGGGAAGGAATTAATGAATGTCTGATTTTGCTTTGCTTGTGCCTACAGCTTTTGCTTTAAACTGTCTTATCTCAACCTATGAGTTTCCTCAGTTCTACCCTTCTGATTCTCTTCCCCATCCCACTGGGGGAGGGTGAGCAAGAGGCTGTGAGGGGTTTAGACACACAGCAGGATGAAACCAGGACATAAGGTTGTTAAGCAGTCTATGAGGTAATGCTAATGTAGTAAGGTTTAGAACTTTCTTTCTCATATGGCTAGCCAGAGACCATCAGTTTTTCTCTTCCCAGTTCATAGTGCACTTAATGAAGGCTGTTTCTGCCTCTGTCTTAGCATTCATATAATTTTCTGGAACTCCAGGTTATGGAATGAAACAGCATTCAGTGGTGGTAATTAATTCTTCCTGACCTTCGTGTTATCTCCAGTTGGCCTCAATTATGTAGTTGTTGTGATAGTGTTGTTGATAACCATTGCAGACTGCAGTAGAGCTCACACCACCACTGAAGAACTCTTGTGTGCTTTCCCAGGAGACAAAACTTTCTCAGATTTCCTCAGTCTTGGCATAAAAATTTACTTTAGATTTGTTTCTAACACTTGTCTTCTGTCCACTTGTTTTGATTGTGTGTTACTTTAGCAACAGGACACGGGAAAAAAAATCTTAGTCTATGTTCTTAGAGATAATTTTAAGGTATGGTGCTGCACAAGAACTTTTATGAGGTTGTGTATGTTGACTTAAGGAGGTCCTACTTCAGGCTTTTTATATTCAGCAAATGCACTTTGCATAATGGAGAACAATTTTATTTGGTATGAAAGAACACTACTGCATTATATCATTACTTTTTAAAAAAGATCAGCAGGTTAAAATGTTGTATTTCTTATGTTGCAGTAATTGCATAAAGCAGAAAAGACAGTACAGAACTGCACTTTAGTTATGTCACAGGAGTGTTTGGAAATGCCCAGACAGGTGGTCTTGAGGGTGAGGTGAGGGTGAGTGTGAACCTGAGAGTTTGTTCTTAACCATGCAGGTACCAAATGGCTGGGCCAGTCATGCATGTTGGACTGGGATTGGTTTCTGCCCACCTTAAGTAATGTGTATTTAATTGCATCATGTAAAATGAAACCAGGTGCAGTTAGGGAACTGAGAGCCTGTATATTGACTATATTTGGTCAACTTGCTTTAAACCTGATTAGAGAAGTCATGTAAGGAAGAGGGGAAAATTCCAGGCTGTTTTAAAAATTAAAATTAATTTTACAGTAACAAACTCCCAGCTGTATTCTATCACTGATGGGCTGTTTGATGAAAAAGGAGGTACCAGGGTTGTGTCCTCCATGGGCAGGAGAGACAGAACACATGCATGTGCCTGTGTGTCTGTGAGTGCAGTTCAGTGAAAGCAATAAATGAGCTTTATACATCATTCCCTCTAAAGTAGAAGTGCTCATCTTGGAGCAAGTCAGGAGTTAAAAACGTAATTTTTAATAAAAGAAAATATTGTCGAATTGCTACAAAGGAAAAACCAAATTCTTAGCTTCTGAAAACTTGTTTGTACAAAAATTTTATGTAAATCACTTGTCATGGTGTGTTAAATTTCTAGTCTGTGTGAAAATAAGAGTATTTTTAAGAGGTGCCCTTTCCAGGCACATGCTGGTGCTGCACTGAACAGAATGGGGTGCAGTCTTTTATTTCTGTGCATGAGGGAATTAATGTAGTGCAGACTGCAGCTGTGGAGCTTAGAAAACACTGATGGCAGCAGCCGCTTCCCATAAAAACTCACTGCCCTTTTAGGAAGTGCTGCTTCATCAGCTCACCAAAAGGCCACTTTTTAAAAGTTTGGAAATTTCTTCAGGCATTGTGGGGGGAGGGGAGGCAGATGAACGTATGGGACAAAGGTAAAGGAATGACTTTGTAGCTGCACTCCTGCATGTAGGAGACTGTAACAGCTCCTAGGCTACGGTGTTTACACTCCTGAGAAGGGTCCCTGGCCACTGGTGGCCAAAGAGAACAAGGTATCATCAGTTTGGAGAAGACAGTCCTGAAGGCCCCAAGGAATCATCTTTCTTCCCATCTATGTCCATCCCCAGGTAAGTTATGCATTATAAAAGACTTTCAATACAACCTTCCAGCATTTATTCTGTTTAACAATAACTAGTGTAGTCATCTCTACCATGAGAACTGCATCCAGCATTTTCTTTGTGGTGGGTCTCGTGGCCATGTTCTTAGAAGCTCATAGAGGGTGACAGGGCTGAAAGACATGTCCTGTGAGGAGCAGCTGAGGACTGCAGGTTTGTCTAGCTGGGAGAAAAGGAGGCTGAGGGAAGACTGCCTTACTCTCTGCAGGTTCCTCAGGACATGTGGAGAGGGTGGTGCTGATCAAACACTGGGACAGGCCTGGTAGAGAGGTGCTCAGTGCCCAGTGTCTGTCAGTGTTAGGAACCATTTGGACAATACCCTTAATAACTTGCTGTAACACTGGGTAAGCCCTGAAGGGGTTGGACTAGATCATTGCTGTAGAAAGCAAAGATACTGAAGTGTTTTAAGTTCTTGACTGTTCTCCTGGCTCCCTCTCCTAATACAGTCTCTACCTGAGCCTAGGTATGTTTTATGCCATTGCTTCAATTGTGGGTATATGTGTAAATTGATCTATGACAGATGAAGTAGGATGCTACAGTGCTAGTTAGCTTTACAGAAATTAAAAAACGCCATTCTTTGCCAAGAATGACATTAACTACTTGCAGTTCAACAGTGTTTCTTAAAGAAAAACAAACTTTTGGGTTATTTTTTTAGTAAGGCTTTAAAGGTATTTTATTGATTGTTGTCCTGTAAAATCATAGAAGCTTTAATTCCTGAAGAATTGTGTCTCACAATAGCAAAAATGAAAAATGTCTTTTAAAAAACATTACAGCATTTTGGAAAAACTAGGTATGAAAAATATATACAATGTATTAAAAAATCTGAATAAAATTAATGTCTGGATTTATACATTCAGTTACATATTAAACGTCTGCCTGTGTACAGTAAAATGTTAAAATATTAGCAGTATTTTTACTATGTTAAATAAGTCTTTGTTCAATTTACAGTTTGTCTACTTATAAATTAATTTACAAAGCTGTTTAGCCACTCAGACAGTCAAGATAAGTATTTTTGTACAAAATCATTGCCTTCTTAATACATTTTAAAGTGTTACAGAGATACATCTTTATAAACATCCTGTTCATTCACAAATCCAATCAACATATTACAGTATATAAACCAGCATCAGCCCCTTTAAAAAAAGGCAGGGAAAGCAACAAGCAGCCTTTGTACTGCAAGTTCTTCCCTCTTTTTTTATTGAACATGTACTCTACCCTGCTGAGTTATCAGCTGGTCCTTAAATGTGAAGGTTTTATAATACAAACTGTCACACATATATACAGAGAAGATGCACTGAAATTTAATTCATTTTTAGTGCATTTTATTCACACAACATTAAGTGGTTTTTTTTCAGTGAAATTCCAAAGCTGAACTGCAGCAATGTAGCAGGTGGGGTGTGTAGTGCAACTGTGAGAAGTCTTCTCTGAAGCAAAGAGCAGGTGAGGCAGCACCAGTGCCAGTTCCTCCAGCATGAGCCAGGCTCCTGAACCTCTGCTCTCCCTCCTTAGCTCAGGCCTGGAGCACCCAAGGACATCAAGTCACACTGCAGCACAGGAAGGCAAAGATACAAATACCAGGTTCATCAGGGTGCCAAGTCATCTACCTCCAAGTCTTTCCTCTGTGGTTATCTATCTACATCTGTATATCTATAGACACACATGCAATGGAGATAAGAAAGCCTGGCACCTTAACAAAACTTTATTTATCTTACTTCTCCCTCCTTTCTTGCCTGTGGATTCAAGCTGATGCTAACAGATGCTAAAGCTGTTGGTAAGCTGAAGCTGAACTTTGTCTCCACAGAAGGAAATAATCTATGTCCTTTAATACCAAAGAGCAGAAAGACTAAAAAAACAATATAAAAAATCAGCAGTCTCCATCAAAACCCTAGCTCTGAAGCAGTAACTAATATAAAGACTATTTAAAGACAAGGGGAAAACAAACAAAACTGCACACATTTCCAGCTGTTTTTACTCCTTTAAAATATGGTGCTCTGAGACCAAGATAATCAACATTCCATATTTTGCAGAGTTTGGTATGCTTCTTGATTTCAGAAATCCTGCTGGGGGCACTTCTCTGGATTCTGCCCTAGAGCTGGTGTCAGCTTTGCTAACATCAATTAGAGAGTAATAATTACTTCTTACAAAGCCTGGATTGTCCCTGGATTGGTGCTGGAGAGCTATGCCTTCCTTTATGAATTACAGCATTGGTTAGTCAAGTTCAGGTAATTCAAGACATTTTGACACAACAACTGGGAAATACCCCCAACAACTGGAAAGTATCCCATTAACACACTCTGGTACTGGGAACCTAACACAGCTGTTTCTGAGGAGCAGGAAACCTCCAAAATTGCTGTTCACCTCCAGAGCAATGCTCTGGGTGAGGTTCTGGGGCTCAGTCTCCTGCAGCTACACAGAGCTCTGCTGCTGACAGTTGAGATGCTCAAAAGCAGATGGAGAAAGAATACCTAAGACCAAGGTTGAAAAAGATGCATGACTTCATCTTCTGTGCTTAAGAAACTGCTGCTGGTTGAAATCTACTGCTTGAGCCAGGTTTCAATTCAGAGCTCTTGAAACGCAAAACAAAAAGGGATGAGTGCCTGAAACATCAGTGCTGTTACTAGAATTTTTGCATTGGTGACCCACAGTTTCCATGCAGGAGCCACAGGGCATAGAGCCCTGCCCTGTGACAGAAGGTAGTGCAACTCCTGTAGCAGAGTACAAAGAACCAGAACCAGTCTAGACGTTGGTCTCCAGTCCCAGCAAGCGTCCCATCCGCTCCATGTTCTTGTCAATGGTGGCACGACATGTGATCTCCTTTGCACACTCCATGGGGAACCAGCCTCTCTCTCCATCCCGCAGCCGCTCCCCTTCGTACCAGCCTGCAGGGGGGAAGGACAAGGAGTCACCAACCTCTTCACCTGCTGCTCAAGAGCCCTGTGTTGTGCTCAAGGAGACAACCAGCACATACACTACACATACACTACCTTGGCAGTGAACAAAGTGCCAGATTAAGAGAGGTTTGACAGATTATTTTTTTATACAGACTAAGCACAAAATAGTATGTAAAAATAAATATTATATGAAATAAGTAATACATTTTTATATTGAAATTCAAATTGTTTGTGATAATATAATTGCAATCTAGACAAAGCAATGCAGCACAACTGATTGATAGGATCTTTGGTTTCACAGGTAATGTTGAACAACATTGTTAAGTTAGGATTTAGTATGTCAAGCACTGACACATGGAAGCATCACTGAGGCAAGACATCACGAGGTCTTAGTTGCATCATTTGCATGTCCAGGTGAGAATCAAAATTGATCTTAGGGTAGTAGATGCTATGAAAAACTTAAAATCAACTGTGCCAAACCCCTGTGCTTAACAGGCAGTGAAGCACAGTGTGTGACATGACTAATAATGTGCCTATTTCTCTTATTCTGACAAACCTGGTGCTCACTCACATGTCTGAGCTCCATGTTTTTAGGCAGAATTCCATTTCTTATCTATGGACGTTTCAGTGTCAAGATCAACCACCACACACTTCGTGCAGCTATTTCTGTAAGTTATGACAGGCAACGAGTTACTTTGCACACCTGTTGCCTGAACACAGGCTGTCCTCTAGAAACTGAACTGCTCCCATTTTTCTTGGGAGCTAAACCTTTATTCCTTGTATAGCTAATGCTATGAGGAAACTAGTTTTTCTAGCAGAATCCACCTGCAGTGGTGACAGAGGGTTATTAACAGTAAAATTCTCACTCACCATCATTTACTTTCTGATACACCAAAACAACATCAGCAACTTGAAGAGACAATTCATCTGACTGCTTTGCTGTGTAAGTTCTGATGATCTCTACCTGAGTCAAGGCTGTGGAAGAAATATTTCACATAACAGAGTATTTTGTATTAAAATATATATATACAATTTTTTTTATTTCCATTTTAGAGTATACTCTCCCCAAAAAGCCAAAGGAGGCTGAAAATTAAACAGATGACTTCCTACCTGAGCAATTTGATATAAACTTGGGATAAACACAAAGGAAGAGGCTTTGTATTTTTGCTAAGGGATTGAAACAACCACACCAGTGTCCATGAATGCCAATGGAACTGACTGACACAGAACACCTCACAGCAGCCCCTGGGCACAGGAGATGGCAGTTTTATGAGTTCTAAAACAACAGAGCCCAGGAAGAAAATCAAAGGACACTTCTAAGGGTATTTATGGTCTCCATTACATGGCAGTGCACTCCCATTCTCCTGTCAAAGCTCTCAAAAATCTTGGTAGCTGTAACTTACTTGTCCTGTCTGTTTTCTGCCCGTCTCTGTCCTGTCCCAGCGCTGTGATCCAGCGAGCTCTGTCACTCCTGCAGCAGCAAAGACAAAACTCAGCTAATGAGAATGGTCAAGACTCCCCCCCCCTTCAAAATCCTGTGTTTAAACTCACTCCTACTGGCTAAAGAAAACAAAACCAAACCTCCTTTGTCCTCTCAAAATATGACAAAAAGATGTGATACTACTTCTAGTTACAAATCATTCACACTTACTCAACTATTTTAAGCATGTTGGATTAGGGAAAAAAGCCCTACACGGGACCCCTGGCATGTCTTGCATTTATCATCTTTCAGTAATGCAAATAAACTTCTCTGCTAATACATAATCATACACTAATTTTAAAAAATCCCACCTAATGCGGATTGAGTTGATAAATGCAATCCAGCAACTTTAATATAAAATACCAGCAGGTTTCCTGTAAGAACTACCTGCAATGGACACTTAGAATTAAAAGCAAGAATGAAAAACAATTATTATTGTTTTTAAATCCCAACACACACTGTTACTCAAAGCTGAAACTACTACACATGTCCTAGTAACATGTGCTCCTTGCTGCTCACATGGCCAGGATGACAAGGCATGCTAGGTTAGACACTTCAATCATTAAAAGCAGGGGTGATAAACTTGTGTGCCAACCAAAGTAAGGAAGTCCGTGTGCAATTCTGGGTTTGCTTTGGGGGTTTTTTTGGAAACGGGTGTTCTTTACACTGATATTCTCCTCTCCCAGTAACCACTCTAAACAGGAAAACTGTATTTCCTTTCCAACAACTCTGAGAATAGTGGGCTAATGCCAGATTGTCTCCCAGTTTAACAGTGTATTTCTTCATAATCCGTGCCTTCCACATGTTTTGTCTCTTACTCACAGGGCAGTACAAGGTACGTGACCTAATGCTGGTACTTTCTTCCTTGAACCACACAGCACAGTGACAAAACATGATCAAACTGTGCTGCCATTCAATAAACACTAAGCCATCCAGGTTGGACTCCCTGCTGTAGATTTCTTCAGTCCTCAAAAGTTGAGAGCAAGTTCTCTTTCTGTACCCTATGTGCATGATAATACTCTAAAAACCAGGTAATTTCCAACTAAAGTACTTCTTTTCCAAGTATTTTCCTTTAAATGACAATCTGCTAGACTGCTATTTATATTACACATAACATACAGCAAATCAGTAACAAATCTGCAGAACAAAATGTCTTTCCTTAAAAAGACCAGACAACTAAAAATGTATTGTTTTGTTGGTTTTTTTTCTCAGTAAAAATGCAGTCCCAAACAAGTTTGAATCTTCTGCTTGCTTATAATGAGATCTTTACTAGAAATCATCAGTGATCTATAGTCTCTTTCAGGGTTATTCTAAACTTTGAAAGCAAACCTAAAACTGTACATTTTTCCAGGCTGGGATACATCTGGATCACTCTGTTTCATGGCTTCTCTCCCTCCTCCAGCTTCCACTAAACAGATAAAATCTTTTACTTCTGTGGAGGGTTGTGTGGAAGTTAATGGCACTACAGAGAAATTACAGCCTCTCAGATATTTGCACCACAAAGAACAAGACACTTCTTGTTGTGTATTTCTAAAGCAGAACACTCTTCCAAACTTGTTCAAGAGAACAAGGACCGGTCTATCCCAGCACAGCTCCACAGCATCCCCAGGGCAAAGCCAGACCCCACCTCCCATTGAATCCAGTACTGTTTCCATTGCTGCACCAGCAGTGCAGCAGCCCTTGTCGTAAATAATTCACAAATCCCTGCTGAAGGACAAGAGCATTCTGCATCCAGACCTTAAGGACCTTTGCCTGCTACCACCAGGATGCCTTAGGATGCACCTGTGCCCATTTCCTCCTGCTGACACTGTGCTCCTCATGTAGAAAACACAGTGTAAACCCCACATTGCTGAAAGAACTGACAGCTGGGGCAAGATACATTAAAACAGTGAGGAACTAAACACCACAGAAAAACAACAGAGCAAGCTTCAATTAGTCTCTGCAGCGAGAAAATTGAAGGTCTTCTTCTCAAGGATCAAGCAAAACCTCCCTTAACTACAACAGTACCAGCAACATTTTCCTCTTGGTGACCTACATTACACCTGGACTCCCATGCCCCATTACTCAGCATCCACAGTGTGCCATGGGATGAGATGGGAATGTTGTTACAGCCTGAAACCCTGACTCAGCACCTCCACTGTTGCAATGGACCTTCCATTAGAAATGCAAGAACCTGCAGTTCTCAGCACCAGGTTCTGTTCCTCAAACAGGCCTGTGCTAGTCTGAAGTACTTGTAGGACAGCTGTAGATACATGTACAGCACTTCCAGCTGCAAGTGCTGTTTGCTCTTCTGCTTTGCTTCAGACACACACCCTCTGGACATAATAGTTTCTAGAGAACAGCACTCCTGCTATAACAAAACCCAGTGGTGACTCGGACACGTTAAGTCACATTTGTAGTTCATATTGAACACTACAAAGCTTCCGTGTTACAGTGTGTGATCACTGGATTGTGTTGTTTTACTGAACACTTGAATTAGGCAGAGCTTTGGTGACTTAATTTTTTACTGTGAATTCACTTACGTTGAAAATATATTTAATGGAAATGCCTTCCACAACCTCTCTAAACCCCAAAAACCCAAACTGCTTAACACTCTGTCCTGCAGCCCTTGTTTGCCTCATCACCAGCTAGGAGAGATTTAGTAATTCCTTCCTAGGGAGCTGGCAATCTCCATGACACAGTTAATTCTTGGCCTGAAGACACCAGACAGTAGCACATAGTAACAGATACTTCAGTGTACAGAATTTCACCACGTGCATTCAGTTTTCCATTATCCCTACACCATGAGCTCAAGGAAGAGAACAACACTCAACAGGACATGCACTTCCTACCACCAATCCCTCTCAACAGGATTACAGGAGAGAAAACTGAGCTAAGTTTGCAGAGGCTTTATTGTATTCCAGTATCCAGGAGGATACTGGGTGAGCTGCACACTCTTCTCTGCCACTCAGTAAAAATGCTTATAACTCACTGAGTCTCTGTCCCCAGGAGCATCTCCACCCGCTCTCCTGCGTGGTTGCTGAGGGCTGCCAGCCTGAAGAGGTGAGCTGCAGAGCTCTGCCTTGAGTACAGCATAGCTGAGGTGTTCTTCACAGGAGATGAAGTCAGGTCCTCACTGTCACATTGTTGTACCACCAGCTGGTCCCTCAAAGAATAATCTGTGACATTGTAACTCTCCTCACTGCAAAACAAAGGAGGGAAGAATTAAAAATAAATCCCACAATTTTAATGTTTAATTTCCCATTAAGTATGTCTGGAAGCAAACTCAACTCAGAGAATCCACTTTTTTATGGCATGATTCTTGTGACATCTTAGATCCCAGTCTTTTCTGGATTTTTGAAACAATTTTCTGAGATTTAAAGTAGATCAGTTTTTAAACCCTGTGAAGTTTCAGTAAGTGGCACAGCTCAATGAGTCTCGTGTTCTTGGGATGCACACTCAGCTTTCTCCATTTTGAAAACAAGCACAGCAACTGTTTAGAATTGCTCTTCTTTTTCTTTTGTAGCTTCAAATAAACAACAGATCTTAGTTATAGATTGTTACAGGGGGGAAAAGTAAAATTTCCCTTTTCCTGTGCCTGCAGAACCATGGGTACATACACTGCTTCCAGATAAACCTGTCTTTGCTGGCACACCTCACAGAAAGCAGAAGACCTCAGAACTGCTTCTTCCGTCCTCATCAGTGTTGAGTGATGGCCAGTGATGTTAGGGCAGCTTTCCCAGATAGGTGAGAACATGCAAACACATTCCACCTTAAAGTAGAATCTTTAGGCCTCAGCCTCAAGTGATTAAAAGCTGTGCTAGACCCTCGGATTACTCTGGTTCATTAAAATAATTTAAATTGAAAACATACTTGAGAAGATTAATTTTGCTGCCAGAGATACACAGCAAGCTCAGCACTAAGTGATACACATCAAATCCCAGACACCTGGAACTGAAACTGTCTGAAGTGCTGGTGGTGACAGACCCCTTCTGGCAGGTACAAGTGAAGCATGTTCACCCCTCATGGAGCTCAGCGATTGCAAGAAAACAGACAGATGACTTGTCTAGTGGGATATATACCAATGTTGTGAACTGTCAGAAAAGTATCTGTGAATCCCTCTGGAGGTAATGCAGTGGTCTTTATAATTCTTACTTGGAGTCCTTCAGAAAAGGAATTTATGAAACACAACTGATCTATGACTCAAAACAGAAGTTAGGGCTGGTTTCTGTGACTCATGCAGCTTTAGAAGAATTTCTGTTCTTCAAGTGACAACAGGTTTGCAGATCATATTGTATTCCTGGATTTTTGTGGATTAATAGTTTCTGCCAGTGCATCTAGTGTAAAAACAAAGGTCTTCTTTCAGTTCTTTCAGCTCTAACAATTATGTTTTTACTTTTGTTCTATGAAAGGTGTGCACTCAGCTCTTCCTTGAAACCTAACACACTCAGATTTACTGTGACTGTCCTGTAGAAAAGCTTAAGTGTTTTAAGAGAGGCCGTGAGAAGGGAGGGAGCACAGACTGTGGACTTAGGTTTCACATTCCCCTAAATCCAGCTCTAGATTCCAGTTTATCAATTTATTTACAAAAAGATGCTACTTGTCACTGGAGGACAGTTGTTTCAAGTGCTATCTGTAGTAGCTGAGGGTTCCTACTGAAGAAGAAAAGAACACTTACATAATTATCAGTGTCTCCCTCTTTCTTTTCTCTTCAATTACAAATGCTACAACAGGGAAAGGTTTGATGGGGAGCTCGGGGGGGGTGTGGGGAGGATGTGTGGTGGTTTTTGTTGCATTGTGTTTTGGTTGTGGGATTTTTTGTTTTGTTTTTTAGAGAAGTCCCTTCAGTCTTGTTGTCTGGGCAATCCCTACTTAGACAAGGGCAAAACTAGCAAGGCCAGCTAGGAATGCTGCTGTAGTTCTTTAAGAATCTTGCATCTAAAAAAGAAATGTAGTCTATACATTTGTGTAACAAATAATAAATGCACTCCTTGCTAATTAATGGACAGAGAGAAACCTCTACAAAGCCGCCTTATTTCATATCTCTATTCAACAAAACAGCCTGCTGTGAAACTCAAGGCAGTTCCCATCTTCTTCCCTGCTGAGCCAGGTGAAGCCTCCACACACTTCTCCTTCAGGCAGATCCTGAAACAGGCTGACAAGAGCTGTCAGTGCTGGAGGGAGCAGGTGTGTGTGATCTGCTCAGCGAAGGAACAGGAAGGACATGTAACACAGTCTTTAAAATTACTGTGATCAGGTCATAGATTCATTTTCAGTCTGACTGAATGTTTTCAGTGAACTTAAGTTTCAATTCAGAACATGAAACAAGGAACAATTTTGTATCCCCTCCCAGGGGTGCACGCCACTTTTAGAGGCACTTTTATGAACACCAGTGACCTGCTGATGTGACACCCTCTGTTCTAGGCCACCTGCACTGGAACAAGAAAGTACATGGTCTGTCTTCCTATTTCCTTTCCTCTGTCCAGCCATACTACTCCCAAAATTCCTGGTGTTCTGTGGAAGTTACTTGGCATTTGTGCTTGCCTGTAGTTACAAAATCACCCCTGGCACCTTGAGAAAGCCAGCTGGGAGCAGGTAACATGCCCAAGTAGCAGTGAACCTTTGGCTGATTGCCAGTCCAGCTGCATTCCACTGTCAAGGTATCTCAGGAGCTGACAAACCACAGAGCCATTAGGACAGAGAGAATTTTGATGGCATCCTTAGGGGATTATGGAAAACAGACCATTCAATAAATGTACAGTCATTCGATGTATAAGCTTCTCTGGAAGTCACCTGAAATATTCTAAAAGGACTCAGGATGTAGCTGGTGGATATTCTGAGTATCTGGATAAGGCAGCTATTTAGTTGTATATAACAAAACTTGATGAATTCTGCAGCTCTCCTGAGCTCTGCAGGAGGGGTGTGGGATAAAAGGAACCATTAGATTTTTGGTGGAGTTCAAAGCCAGCTGTTACTTTAGCAGAATGCTGTTACCAGGTGTGCTTCCAAGCCTACAAAAGATCAGAGGAATCATCTCCTCTGTAGCCTGGTCCTCTCCTCTCCCTGGGCAGTTGTACAGTGCCCACAACAGAAGCTCTGCCATGCCTGGCAGCAGACAGATCCCAGCAGTTGTGCTCAGCAGCTGTACAAATGTCTAAGTTAACTTCCCAGAGCTACCAAAATGGTCAGAGGAAGGAAGATGCTCTTCTGGGGTCACAACTGGCTGGACTAGTATGACCTGACCACCACCTACACAACGTCTCTGACAGGTACCACCAGGCCTGGCCTCCACCACCTCAGGACTGAGCCATCCAGCTGCTCCTGCCAGGTTCTACACAGATGGAAAAATGCTCAGAGGGGACAGCCGAGGATCAACGTGGGGGACAGGTTAAACAGCATGATTGCAGCCCCAAGTAATTAGTATTAATAGCACAGTAATGACAAATCTTTTTTCACACGAGAATCTTAGGAAATTCAACTGCTCAAGTACAAACATTTAAACTCAACTAGCAACAAATATTTCTGTCCATTGCTGTGGTGTCCATGGGAACATTGTGGGTGGGAGAACTGATCACCAAAAGCTCAGATATTGTTAATAAGCTTATGCGCTTCTGCAAAGTACATGCTTTGTGCTTGGAGTATCTGGGAGAGTCACAGAAATGGGTCCTTTTCAGTCACTTCCATTTGTTTAGGGGGTCTTGGGAGAGTGACTCTGTGAATCTGGTCATTAATATGAAGGGCTCTTTCATTTTGGCTTCTGGGCCCAGTTAGGACATTTCAATTCCAACAGCTGGAAGCTGTTTGAAATCCAAAGCCCCAAAGTTTGGATAAGATACGTTGTTATAAAGATCTGTTCTATAATCTGAGAACCAGCCATCACATAGGAAACCACACACAACACAGATAATGGATTTTTCACTGTTTTCCCAACTCAAACATTTACTTAGCTACCAACACAACAATATGTTACCAGCAGTCCCAGGAGAGAAGCAATGACTGCTGGAAGCAGCACGATGGGGCTGTGAGGTGCTGTCAGGCAGCCAGGACCCAACAGGGACCTCCACAGAAACCTCTCAGCAGAAGCTGATAAAACACTGGGTCTCAGAAACATGCTCACAGCAGTAAGACAATGGGGGAGAATCTATTCATTTTTCTTCCCATCTTTATAGAAACAACCCTTTCACTTCAGTTTTTGTTTCCTGCCACTTTCACTTAGCTTTTTCTTTCCTTAAATATTAGCATTTTTCCCCAGATGTTGTATCACACCTCACTCATCAAAGCTTCTTATTTAAATTATCCATTTGAAGTTTCACAAAAGGGTTTCTCTTAAAAATTAGCTGCCATCCAGAACAGTTTCTTTATCCTCTCAAAACTCCTCCCTTTGCTAAGGCATCGAGAATGAATTTTTTAGTTTGTTTGACAATTTGGAACCTCAATTACAGTTGCCAAAAATAAATCCTGTTGAACAAGTGGTTACTGGATTTAAAACACTGTTAGCCCACACTCCTTCCTCATTTATGCTGCTAAGGTTCCAGGTGCATTTACTTCTCTTTGAATCTCCTTCACTCTTTCAAGCAGGTGGCTAAAAAACCTGTCAGAGGGCTGTGGCTGCAAACACACTTGCTGCTCCAAAGCCAGGAAGCCTTGGTTCTCACCTCCCTGGGGTGAGGCACAGGCAGCAGTCACCAGCACTGCAACACTGTCAATTGTAATTCAACAGAACAACTGTTTTCTCTGTGACTGAAGGAGGTGAACACAAAGGCAGTTTCACACTGGTAGAGATCTTACCTCTTCTTCTTGGTGATAATGAGGACATCATTGAAGAGGAAGAAGTAGACCTGCTGTTTAGAAGTTCTTTTAGAAAAAAGTCCCGTGTCTTCTACATATGCTGTTAATTCACCTCTTTTCAGTAACCATCGTGAAGAGGAGACCAGTGGAAAAGGCTAAAAAGCAAGAAAATAACATTTTAATCCTTCAAAAGTAGAGATTTAAAAAAAAAACAGATAACAATGTATTTTATGTTGAGGAAAAAAACACGCTTGAATGAACTCAAGGCTGAGGGATTGTGAGTTCAGGCACAAGACAGGTTATCGAGGTCTTGGGTATCTTCATCATTCACGAAACACACAAACCATAGCCTGCAAATACTTGAAAACCACTCATGCACATGACCTAATTGCTCATCTAAGATAAAAGCACTCTTGACTGGTCATACTTGGGATGGAACAGACTATGTGAGATCTCCTAAGGAGATTAAAAGAGGGAGACTTCCAGGAATATATACATTTTTGTAATAATTTTTTAACCATGAATGAACATTGGATTTTCCTCTAGGTATCTCACAGCTTTTCCACCTGAACAGCTGGACAGAAGAGCTTCAGCCTCTCAACATGAGGGCTGTACATTGTCTTTCCTCACATCCCTGAGGCCTTCCAAGTGGTGCTGTGTCCCCCTGCACAGCCCAGGCACCAGAGAACAGGTCAGCTCTGGAGCTGGACCACGACATATGTGCCAGGAGGACAAAGGTCCATCACAGATTGGCAGCTGCCACTGCCTGGGGCTCCTCAGCCCTGACCCCAGCAGAGCTGCTGCCTGGGAACATTATTCCACCGGGGACAGGTCTGGACTGCAGTGTCACCAGGCACTGCTCTGAGCAGACACTGACCTCCAGAGGCTTCACCCCTTGTGGGGGTTTCACTGAAGACACATTGTTAAACCTCTCGGGTTATGAGACCAGCTCAGTGATCTCAGAAACGCCACGCAGAACAACTCCTGATCCCTCAAACCAAGTTTACTATCAACATTCAGCTTTCACACGCAGAACAACTCCTGATCCCTCACAGCAATCAAACCAAGTTTACTATCAACATTCAGCTTTACCAAAATCTGCTTAGTTCCCATCAGAACTGTGCTGGTTCAGCACCTTTGAATGACACAAACATCGGATTTTTACATTTCCAGAAACACAGCAACAGCTCCATGGGACATGAGAGGAACACAAGGCCCGTGCCCTAATGGTGACACCACCACGCCTTCTGTGACACTGCTGAACTGACAGGCTTTGGGCTGGTTGGCCCTTGAACAACCACATCAGGAACGAGCTTGTTTCATTAACATAAAAGTGTGTTTGCAAAAAAAACTTTTCTGGTAATAAAGATGAAAAGATTAAGAAAACAAACTTCTGAACCTTCATTAAAAAAACAGATTCCTCAGATGAGCCGTGAGCAAGTGACATGATTTTTGAGCAGCTTCTCTTTACTCCCACAAACTGCTCAACAGTCACATCTAACAAAAGCATAAACAAAAAAATCCCCAAACACCACATGGGGCTGAGCAAGAACAGGAATAGTTCAGCTAATTTACTATGGTTATAAAACAGAATTACAGCACCCTGATGGCTGCTGCACAGACAAGAGGTACTTCAAAAAATTCTATTTGAGCATGTACTAAAAAATTCCTCTAATCTCCAAGAGATTTAATCACATTTTCCTAATGGACTGTATTCCAGAGGTGCTTTCTTTTACTTTCATATTAATTTTTCCTTAATTGCCAAAAGAGTACATCACGTATACCATCCCCTTGCTACATAAAAAACAAGCTGTTAGAACTTAAAATGTATTGAAATGTGTCCAAAGCAGCCTTCTGTATGCCAGCTGGCAAGCTCTTAGCCACAAATAAGGGTCCAAATCAATATGTGGTTTTATTTAAGATGCACAAAGGAAAAAAACTTGCATAAAAATACAGAAAACCAAAATGAAGTTCCTGTTACTGCCATGAGAGCAGGGAGACCTGCTGGTCACAGCATGCACAGGGGAGGTTACGCAAGGCCTCTTGCTTCCGCAGAGGTGGCATCATGCTCCTCCCATGGGGAAAGGAAGAGACCAGGAACCATCTTCACACTGCTGGGGATCTGACAACTCTGAAGGACCCCACAGATAAGGTCGCAGGGCTGCAAACCATCCCCAGATGGGTTAGACTGGCCAAGGACTTGAGACTGTTCTCACCACTGTTGGCACATGTAGTCATGCCCCTTGTTAAGAGATGGTTTAGTTGCTGTTGTCTTAAGTAAATATTATTGTTGCTTTCCCTTTTTAGTCAAGTAAAAATGCTTCAGACAAGTTGAAAACCATCTTTTCAGAGGCAGCATTTCCTCCAGGGCTGACCAGAAGCCTTTAAAGTACTGTGTTTTTAAAAACATGAACCTTTTCTTACTACAGGTATGACAATAATGAGACATTGTTTACAGAACTGGTATTTTAAGAAACATTGACCAGAAAAAAGTAAAAGAACAAATTTCCTTAAAGTACAATAAAACCCCTGCTATGACTGACTCCTATTTTTTCCTACCAAAAAACTGATTGTAGAGGTTGGTTTTTTTTAATAGCCTAATACGTTTTCAGTATCAGAAAAAAAAAAATTGGATACCTCAGAATCATCAGACTCTTTATGAACATTTGCAGGTTAATATTCCCTGAAGCAGCAAAACAAAAACCTGGGATCACTGCAGTGACCTGGACTGATAAAGGTGCCATTTATCTGAAGTGCTTCACCAACACTGCAGCTGCCCACTGCCCAGCTCACCATTCCAGGCTGGCACCCCTGAGGCTGGTGGCAGCCCCAGTGTGTCACTGCAGGGCTGGGTCCCTCCCCTGCAGGTGTCCCCAGAGCCACCAGCCAGGCCCATGGGTGTCACAGCACAACCTGCCCCATGGGGCAGTGGGCAGCTCTCCAGCACCATCCTGCTCCCAGGCACCCCCACAAAAAAAATTGACTCCTGAGTCTGACAGATTGTTCAGCAGACTCAGCACCTTGTAGGGGTGGACCATAATTCCAAACATGTCCTAAGATGACTGGAAACAGGCCTGTTTTTTGTTTTGTGCTGCTGTAAAGCTCGATAGTCAAACACCATAATAACCCTTTCCTGGCCTAAAAGTAACTACTTAGACATACATTTCCTTTCACATCCTCATTCTTTAGTAATTAATGCTAATTTATTCTGTTAAATATAGATATCCCAATTCTTTCCCTGAAAAGCCTCAACCTGATGTTACTCCCCTTGGTTGGCTGCACCAGGCTTTGGTAACTCTGCTTCCAGGGCTCCAGCTCACCTGAGTATGGACTTGTCTTCCTTGACTGGAAAGGCACAGCAGCATCACAGCCAACATCACCTGTGCTGTGTTCATGCTGTCAAACGTGAATGGGTACACAAAGCTGTTCATGTGCAACATAAGTTATGGTCAGAACCATCACCATCATACCTTGATTTTAAATTCCAGCTGGGAGTTGATTGTGTACATCATCTCTGTCCTTTCCATCTTCCGAGCACCTTCGTTGCATAAACGCACCAGCTAGAAAGAAGATGTTTAACAGGTTTCACATACTCAAGTGTGTAATACAGACCTTTCTTCCTTCATAAAACGCACTCCTGGGAAAGCAGAAGCTTTACAAAGACACTGACGTTTCACACATCATGCTTTCAGGATAAGGGCCCAAGTGACCAGGCCACAGCAGTTCTGCCTGGAGCCCAGGCCAGCTCCCGAGCTCCCCTCAACCTGAATCATCCCATAATACCATGATAATTATTCACTCTTCAGGGCAGTGCAGGTGGTACAAAGTTCTGAGCAGTGTTATAGCTCTGATCCAAGTTAATGATCAGCTCCAAACCAAACAGCTGACACACCAGCACCAGGTGCTGATGGTCTCAGGAGGAAGCCCCAGCACAAACCTTGCAGCCCACCTCGCAATTCCAGCACAGGTGACCTCCAGAGTGACCTTCTGAAGCACACTGCAGTTTTACTGAAGCCTGCACATGGAGGTGGGGAGCACATCATCATGGGGGCACAGATGGAAAGGGAAGAAAAGGCATCCCCCTTAAGCCTAACATCCCATGTGGACTTCCCAGCCACCAACAGGCCTCTTCTCCTTGGATGTACCCTGTGCTCTGGTGACTTACAATAAAAGCAAAAGAAATGCTTAAATTTGCTGCAAAGATCCAGACTTTTCATCTACACCTGGGCCAGCACAAGGCTCTGCTGCAGTGACAGGCAGGGAATGGGATGGGTTTGTTTGACTACACAATGAAGCAGGTGAACAAAATGAGCATGAACAAACATAGCAATTAATGCTCAGGGGACGAACACACACCAAAAGCAGCCACTACTGGCTGTGGGTTCTTGAAATGCAGAAAAAACCTGCATCCAGGTTGAACTCTGCAGACCCTACCTTGCTCACTTCTTTCAGAGCTTGCTTGCAGTTCTCATACTTTGGTGAGTCCTTAGGAGTCTTCTGACAAATAGTCTGAAATAAAACATCAGTTACTTCAGAGGCCTGAGCAGCACAGGCTGTAGCAAACAGAGTGTGACACACACAGTCACTGAAACCAAAGAGGACAAGTCACAGCTGTGGACTGGGATGAATGAGGGAACACTGGATCCCTCCTGCAGTGCTTCCTCCTGCCAAGGAATACCTCCCTTGGAAGCCCATGGAGCAAAGCAGCCAACCTCCATCCACAGCACCACGGAGGAGGAGGCAGCCTGTGTCCCTCCAGGAAAGGGAAGGTTCTACTGTCTTGGCTCTTAACTGCAAACCCCAACAAAGCCTCACTGCAGCCCAGCCACGTGCTTCTGCTTCCGTGGTGTTTGTCCTGGAGGCTGAAATACCCATTTATGTACAACTGCACTTGGGGTAGGAAAAACTATTGCTCTGTCTGCCCTCAGTATGGGAGGTTATTATTTCCAAAGGATTAACAGAAAAGGTTCTTAAGGCTAAACTATTATGTAAGCCATGGAAAAATAAACATAACGGTATTACTTTACTACATCAAAAAAGGCTAATGGAAGGAAATGGAAGGGAAGGCAGTGGCTGCATCCCAGCAGAGGATAGACTAAAAGATGATGAGAAATAAATCTGAACTATGACTTACACATGACAGTTTTATCTACTGATAGAGCCTGTTCTTAGGAGCTAGAGGTGGAGGTGAAGTCCTGTCAAAAATAGGCATTCTGAATCAATGACAGACCAGTTTTTGACTGGGAAACAAAAAACATCTTAATATATTTTACATTAAATTAGTCTTTGATTTAATTATGCTTCTCCACTCTGAACGAACGTAGCTGGAGCCATATTTCTGGTACTGATGCCTTAAAGACCAGATTCACTTTGAAGTCTCAATATAAGGTTTACACAAACATCTCCAAGAAAAACAAATGAAACTGACAAAGTAGAAAATAAAATGCTTGGTTTGCTTGTTTAGATTCTTTTGGCCAAAGAGGGGAAGGAGGTGAAGGGAAGAAAAAGACAAGGGGGAGGGGTTCAGCTAGTGACAAACTGAAGTAATACTGGATTGTTATTCCATTTTTACCTAGAAAGAAAAGAGGGTATTCAATGTTCATGAATAACTAAGTAACTGTTCAGATGATCAAATTAATCGGTGCACAATTGGCCAACATGGCCAACACACAGGAGAACATTTCTACTCCTGTTTCTAGATCCTACCAGTGCTAGAGTCTGAGCCTGGGTTTTAACCTGCACTCTTGCTGGTGGTCCAGCCCGTAAATGTAGTTCTAGCATCTTAACTGAAATACCACAAATCCTGGTGTGAACTTGGCTTCATGGATCCTCCTTACATGTCATCACACTGTCCAAGTGCCTGGTGACCTGCAGAGGAAGGACCATTGGATCCTAAGCAGATCAGTGCTGCTTCATGCCCTTGGGAAGGGAGATGACTGCAGGGTCACACTGACTGGAACTGACCCTATTCTGACAGGATTTACTGCAAAAGGTCCTTTACTTAATCCATATGACAGGAACTCTTGTATTTTAAACTGTAGGGTTTAGTATCAATCCTAACACTATTATACAATTTCTGTGCTAAGTTCCTCCCTGGTTTCAGAATCATTTTGACACTTTACTGTACAATTTTACTATTAGATTGCCTAAATATTTAACTTCGAATCAGGGCATGAGGAGCAGGAGGTACCTGTCACAGAAAGTAAACACATGCTACAGAACTTCACAGTCAATAGATCTGCATCTACAGCTCTGTAACCTGTGTAAGTAAGAAGAGGTGAAGAGACTGGAACAAACTAGGAATTGAACAGAAAAGGACACTGACATCAAAGGAACACTCATCAAGGAAAGAGAAAAATAACTGTTCTCACATCCATCAGCAAGGGCAGCCGAGTGACTCTCTGCATGGGAAGGATGAGGAAGGAGAACATGGGTAGGTTCCGGCAGTCCGCATGGGACTCGATCCGGGATAACACCTCTTTAAATGCTGGATTTGTGGCCCTGGGGGGAGAAAAGGGAGAGAGAATTAAGTGGCATGTTTTACCAAAGAACTGTGAAAGTTGCTAGATTTTAAATAAATAAAATACTAAATAAATAATAAATCATAGGAAAGTGTGATTTGAAAGAGTCACCCCAACCAAGCCTTCAGCTTTATCTACTCAGTATATGAAACCAGTTCTGACATGTGGACACCTCAGGCTTTCCCAGACAGGAAGGTGAGTGCAGGGACTCTGTGTGACACCCATGAAGCTGTGGAAAGGCAAAGGGGATGTAACACATGCCACATGCAGGACCAGACCCTGCAGCCAGGTGCACTTTCACTCAAGTCACTTCCAAGGCACTTGTGCATGAAGGAAAGCCAGGCATGTGAGGACATGCTTAGTTGGAAGCCACAGGTTTTACACCAAATACCACAGCCTGCTACTCACTCCTACTACAAAAGGGGTGATTTTGCAATTATAATTTACAATCAGTTCTTACAGCAGTTTCTGCAGTGTTCGCTGCTGGTAGACTTCATTGGTGCAGTACTTGACATAGGGGTCAAAGGTGGAGGAAGCATGCTTTTCAACTATGTCACTGATGTCATCAATAAAGATGTTGTTCTGATGTCTGGCTTCAAGTTCTTTAAAGAACCTGTGAAAAAAATAAATTACTAATCTTTAAAAAGAAAAAAACAGCAGTCTCTCTCTTGCACCATTTCACACTTCACCTGACACATCTCATGACTTCTATAACCCAAGGGCAATTTGGCTGGTTTGTGAAGGGTGGGACCATCTCTCCTGTGGCAGAACAGTCAGAGAAATCTTCACAGGACACCAGTCCAAGGAGGTGGCAGTGTCACCTGCTAGAGCTCAGCGTAAGCAACCAAGTTACTTCCCATCCCCTGGGTGCCAAAAGCAAAGCAGCAACTGCCCATCTGGTTAGACCAGAATTTCCAGAAACAGGGTTGAAAAAGAAAGGAAACAACTTCAAGCACATCATTAAGACATTTCCTCTTGTAATAAAGGTAGCACAATAACTTGATTTCATTGAACATTTCTGGTATGTGTGAACTGCTAAACTAAGAACAAAGGAGACACAGCAGGCTGAGCTGGACAAGGTGCTCATGTGCCAGACACTCCAGTCTGCAACTGAAACCAAACACATATGGGAAACAGTGAAAATGGGAACAGAAACCAAATCCTGAGCTGCTTTTTCCCCCTAAATTTGTTTGTTCTAAAAACTTCCCTATTGTTTGTTACCTGCTCCATCCACAAGCCTCTGAAAGCTTTCCCCTCCTTGTTTGCATTTCTAATTTTACCAGAAAACAAAAGCCTTTCTTTCTGCAATGCTTATGAGAGAGATCTCAGTGTTTGGGTGAAGAGCTCTCAGAGCTCAGCCCCTGCAGGCCACTGGCATTACCCACTGACAGCTCTGCAGCCCTTGGCAACCTGGGAGCTGCTGGAAACCTCTTACAGTCTTGTATCAATCTCTTAAAGAGTCCTTTCTGCTGCCTTACACAAGTGATGCACTAGAAGAATCCTCAACTCTCTGCAGTAACCCAGCTAGTAAGAAGGAAATACTGAAAAGAGACGATTCTTGTATCACACTAAAATATTTAGAAACATCTTTTATTTTATTTTGGCCCTTTATTACATTTTCTCATGACAGACACTGGCTCTTTAACACCTGTCATTTTGCAGCATTTCATTTTGGTCAGTGCAGCACCAGAGTTCTCCATAAGTTGTTTTACAAACAAACCTCAAACGTGTAAGAGGAGGAGAGCAGAATGAACAGCAGTTTGTCACACAGGTGTTACATAACATGGGTTAACTAAAATTAAAGCATTTTTTAAAGAGTGCTTAGAGGAAGCTGCCTACATTGAGTGGCTGCCAGATGTTCACTCGGTCAGTCACACACTCAGGAGAATCAGGATGAGCTGCTTTGGGTTTGGATTTTTTGTTTGTTTTTGGTTTTTGAAGTTCTGACACATAAAACAGCAGATTGAACTGGCAGATTAACAGCATCACCAATGAATGAGACCCAGGACACTGACACAAACAGATCTCACCTACTGCAGTCTCCTCCTCTGCTCCCCTTGAAGCAGTGCAGGTGCTTACCAGCCTTCCCACTTCTGGCAAGCAGATCCTCCAGCTTCCCACTATCTTGCATCCACATCATGTCAAAGCACTGAACACTCCAAGGTGTCACTGACATGTTTTTGCTATGGATTTGGTTTTCCAATATCCAGACCAGCACTAACTGGCAGAGCATACTGAGCTGCAGGGAGGTCTCATACAATGCACGAACAAACACCAAAGTCAACAAAGTGTCTGAAATTTCACTGGGCTCCAAGAAGGGAAAAGGAAAAAAAAAGTAAAAAAAGGTCTTCAAGTCACCCAGATCCTCCTGAACCACAACAGATTGAACCAGTGACCACCACAAACTGCAGATAACTGGAATTCATTTCTACTCTTCTCAGACATGTTTATAGTTGGGAGGACTTCTCAGCCTGCTGCCAACTCACTTTGCTCAGGAAATCAGGAAATAAAACATTTCTTCCTGCTGTGTGTTCTGGCACTCACACAAGGTGTTTGACCATGCCGGGCTCAAACTTCCTCTTTTAGAATTTATCTGGTGCTTCATCAATGACATCATCAGTCACAGTCATTGCAGGAACAATACAAATATTGGGTAGTGGGTTTTAAAAGGGGGAAAAAAGAAAACAGGGGCAGAGAGAAGCAGCACACCCCCATCTCGCCCCAGCACATACTGTAAGAAATGTCACCTCTGGTAATATTTTAGGACAGATTCTGTCATAAAGATCAGTACTGACTGGTCAAGTGATTATACTGAATTGAACCAACTACAAATTATTTGCACTGTGTGTCTGCTTTTTTCCCTTATTGCCAGATGGATTTATCTAAAGCATTTGGTTCTGTTAAATCCAGAACTTTCCTGGTTAAAGTTAGATCCAATTAAGTGAAAGTCAAACAGCATCGTAAGACAGCACTTCATTTTCCTCAGCTTGTCCTTGTGTTCTTTAAAAGAAACATCCACTGTAATCACATAAAACTCCCCCTTCCTGAAAGGCTACATGCCAGGTTTGGAAATGCAGGTTTAATTAATTTCCTGTTGGTTTCTTTTTATAGCACAAGAAGTGGAAACACAGGAGATCTCCCCAGCATCAGAGCTTGCTCTGTCTGTATGACAAGAATTTCCTCAAAGTTTTGGTGGCTTCTGTGAAGGATCTTCCCATGTCTAAGTAGACTGTCAACAAGTGGCCATCACCCTCAGGAACAACATCCTAACTGCCTGCTCAGGCACTTAAGGTGCTTTTCTTCTACCCTTTGGCACTGGCTTTAGCCAATGACTGATCTCAGCTCTCTCAAAAGCTCCAGTTAATCCAGCACAGTGGGACCTGCACAAGGTTACAAACCATTCCTACAGCTCACCTTTACAGAGGCCTGAACTTGGTCTCATTTACAACTGCAAAACTCCCATCAACATCAACAGAAGTTCAACTTACAGAGGTGCCATGAAAATAAATAAAAATAAATGCCCTAATACCAATCACTATGGTCAACATTTCTTCTCAACATTTACCTTCCTCCACCCCTAGCTGAAGACACTGACTGCCCAGAATGTACGTTCTTACGGACACTAAACTTTGCTATCTGGGCATTCCAAAATTCCATTGCACTGGATTAAAAAAATTCCAATTAGGCAGGTAAATGATCTTTTTCACTAGGCAGGCCAAATCACACTTAAAAAACAATTTTATCTTCTGGAACGAGTTATGATAAGATTATAATGCAGATATAGCTTCATGGAGATGTTGCTGCTGACACGTTACCATCCAGCAGCAGAAGAAGCCACTGGAGCAGAAGCCAAGTACAAGGTAGCCTCCTCCTCCTAGAGATAAGGGAACTGGCAAAAAAGCCACCCATTTCAGGTAACTTCAGATAAAAGTAACAGGAATTCCTGATCAGTCTTTCCAAATGTGAATCTATAAGAAAACAGAAGCTTAACATCTGCATCACAAATTATTAGGGGGGGGATTTAAAATACTAAAATGAGCAGATAACAGCCTTGTTTCCACAGTGCTTTTATCCCAAATCAGAACTTTTAGCAAGAGAATGGCTGAAAAAGAGGGTGAATGAAATAAGAGACTGCATCCCTGGGCGTTTGAAATGAATCATTACCTAGATAATGGCAAACAGTGCACACACACGTTTGTAATGCCAGAGACTGCAAAGCTCAGAGCCCCTGAAAACACTTTTATTGGGCAATATCCACTAAGCACCTATAAAGGCAAACAAGAAAAAAGAGAGACCCTGGTGGCCTGCTCCTTCAGCCTGCAATAAACTGGAACAACTTTCCAGAAGCCTGCCCACAAGTTACTGTCCTAATGGGAAAGCACTTGCCTTCCCAGCTATTTACAGCATGCGGGCAGAAGTCCAAAGCAATAAAAGGGCCATGGCAACCCTGTCAATATGTTGTGCTACAGAGAGATTCCTCAGATTGTGGGTAAGTGCTCATAGCACCTTGTTCAATGGTTGGCATCTCAGAAAAACAAACCTTGAGTCAACCAATTAATACCCAGAGACAGGAGAACCCACAGAGAACACTGTGGCACCAGAAATGTAAACTTCTTGATAAATTATGAAGACATCACAACAGGAATTTTTGTTTTAAAAACCTTTCCCATGCTGAACAAAGTCATGCTTTTATACCCGAGAAGAATCAGGATGCTCCTGCCTGGCTCCCCAGAGCTGCAGTTATCTACATTCTCCTTTGTCACAGAACAACATGATCCCTTGCGTGTCACAAACAAGCAATTTATGAATCATTCTGTGAAGCTTTCTGACACCAAGGATGAGGCTATTCCCATCTCACACACTAATACAATACGCAAAGACCTTGGAGAAGGGACAACAACCAGACACACAACTTCTCTCAGGCTCTACAAGCCTGGGTTGTCACCCACAGTCCCCAGCTGCACAATCACCAAGTGTCAGTACAAGGGCTACTGATGCTACTGCATGCAAGAGAACTGGTCAGTCCTGGTATCTGAAGAGAACATGGCTGCATATCAAGCTGATTTTCCCATAAAAGGCACAAATAAATGTCTGCTCCCACACCCTTCCTCTGGATCCAGCCCCAGCAGCACCTGCAGAATGACCCAGGACAGCACACCCTGTGCTGGGCAGGCAGATGTCCCGGTACCAACACAGCCCAACCTCACAGCTCTCCAGGGCAAAATGGAGCAACACAACACAACCTATCTGGCTGCCACAGAGGCTTCACCTCGTGGATGTGAGGTCCAATAAGGGATTGCATAGCTTTAACATCTCAGTTAAACAAAGCACATTGACCCAATGATGCACGAGTGCAGCCAAGGGAACATACATATATCCTCCCACAATGACAGCCTTGCTAAACACAGATATTTCCAGACTTACTAACAACTTGGTGCCTTTTCAAAGCTACAGATTCTTTCCATGCAAGGGGGGCAGTGGCAGTTCTGTGAAAATAGAGTGACCCCTTGGAGACACTGCTCAGCCTCAGCTGAGAAAGGCTCCTTCACTGCCCATCAGTCTCTGCACAAGGGAAGCAAAAATGCAAGTTCCAGTAACTGTTGAACACCTACT